AGAGAGAGAGAGAGGTTGGCCCAAAGGGAGGATATAGTCCGTTAATAATTAACCATCATAAAATGTCCATTAATAGCAGAATGGGGGAACAAGATTCATGTAGCCAACACTAATTAGTTGGAAAAAGGCTTTGAAGATGATGATGAAAATATCCATTAATAAAATGGATGCAGTAAAGCTTGGGAATATATCTCAAAGCCTTAATATGTGTGTGTGTGCCTGTGTGTGTGCTATTTTAAAATATATCTCTTGTACAAAATCCATGGTAAATTACTTTGCAAAGTTGTACAAAAAGTTGACCTGTAATTATAAAAGATTTAGGGAAATTATCAGAAATATACCTTAATTTTAGCTTAATTGAAAAAATATCCCAACTTTCGTAAACCTTGTCTACACCATTTTTCCTCATTTTCGGCTTTTTTTTTCACGAAAATAACCTTCATTGTAGTCGTATTACCGTGAAGAACATTATGGTTTAGCGTGTTTCATAGGTTTCCTCTCTCTCTCATCGCTATCACCATTTTCATAGCTGTTTTTTCTCTCTCTCATGAATGGTTTTGATGGAATATGAAGGCTTCGAAAGATGGGGAGCTCTCTTTTTTCTTTCCCTTTATTTTTCTTCTTCTTCTTTTCTTTAATTATAGTCTTGTGAAGAAATTGGACCTTAGTTTTGGTCGCAGGGGTGCTCAGACAAGCAAAATCCAGCAGTGGATAGAAGAAAGAGAAGTCCTTGTTAGAAAGAGAAGTCCCTGTAATTTCTCTGATTATTTTAGAAGTCCCTGTTAGAAAGAGAAAAAAATAAAGGAAGAGAGAGAGAGAGCAGAGGGATATAAGAAAATGAAGTGGTTATAGACCCACTGAACGAGGTCTTCACAGTTTAGGGATTCTTTTCAGTCAAAGGTGCAATTTCTTCTTCCTTAGATTATATAACCCATGACCCAGCTCAGGCTATAGAGTTTCTCTGTCTATATATCCTCTTTTTCTCTCTCTTGGGTTATCGGCTATGTCGAATTTAACTTCTATTTCAGAGGATGGAAGTGTCTCTTCTGGTTCTAGCATCACTTAGTATTACGGTAATTCCAATACCGTAATACCGAAAGGTTTTCTCACGGTATTTTAAGTATGTATAAAATGCGCTAAACTTTACGGCCCTTAAAATACCGTAATTGTTCTTAACGGTAATACGACTACCGTGAAGGTTACTTTGGTTACAAAATGCCCAAAATTGAAGACAAAAGGTGTGGACGAAGTTTATAAAAGTTGGGTCTTTTTTCTTCTAAATAGACAAGCATTAAGGTATATTTGCGATAATTTCCCAAAAAAATTTTGGGTGCACCTTTAGTTCATGAGCTGCAGAACATAGATTGTGTATCACATGAATGTGGGCTTTAGTGGGCTTTGGATTATAGATCATGGATTAGGTTTTCGTTTATAAGCTTCCTAGTTTGGACCATGGGCTATGGTGGTTATATTCTAGATTATAGTGTAGATTTATTACCTTGAAATAATATTTTCCATAGGTTTACTTATGAAGAAAGCCTAGGGTTTTCATGATAAGACACTAGCAGTACTGTTATATAAGGATTTGCTCTATAAAGAAAAATAAGTTGGCCATTCCTTCATCAATGGATTTGAGACCTAAGGTGATTTTACAGAGAGTTGAACTTTGGCTGAGGAGGTGGGCTTGGATTAATTAGAAAAGAATCCCAAATAGATAACTAAAAGTTGATAGACTTGCAGAAATTGCTATTTATGGAAATTTGAAGAAAAAAAAAATGTAATACTGTAGTGTCTTTAAACTTCCTGGAAATCTGGAAAAGTGTATGTTTAATTCTTAATGATGAGACTCTCAAGAACTCTGTAAAGCTTGAAATAAATATTTAGAAATTGGTTAAATGACCTAACTGTGTTCAAATGATAGCAGATTGCTTTGTTTGCAAACTGGAAAAATAAAATGAAATTAAAACTGGAAAAATGATACAAGATAACTCATCCTAAAACTCCTAATTATTTTAAGTTAAATGATGTGCCAAAGAAACACTATTGAGTCATGGCATATTTGTATTCATGTTGCTCTGGTAAGTAAGTGCCATTCCAAGGATTTTCAAACTTCTGAGTCAATGTATCTTTGTTTCAGTTATTGCTTTTTTTTTTTTCCGCGTTATTGCATGCTCTTAAAAATTTAGTTATGGGTGTTACAAAATTCCTAGGTGTGTTTTTGTTTGTCTAGGTAGAAATCGATCAAAACTGATGTTCAGAGACATTCCTTTTCCAGGGAAAGTGATGGATCATTTCAATATGGAAATTACTGGAAAGAGGTTGAGGATTTGCGTTCTGTGGTTGAATACCTTTCTGGGGCTCAACGTAAAATTATAGCTATTGTCGGGCACAGTAAAGGTGATCTTGAGTTGTGTAACATGAACATTGTTTATATGTTTATGGCCTGACAAGTTAGTATAGTTAGATACCATTTGATGTGTGTGTCAGTTATGGCTGCTTTGGGTTGCATTGTTATCTCATCACTCACTTTTGAGTGGCTTAGAAGTTCATTTGACAGTTTTTTGCAAAGTAAATGAATCCAATGGGCTGTGGGGAAATCATAGTTCATTGGGCCATTAGTTAAAGTCCTGATGGGCAGTGATGTTGACGGAGAGAGTGAGAACAGCTTGGGGTTCATATCTTAATCTGGTGGTCCTGCTTTCTCTCCATCACCATATATCATTTTAGTGGATTTTGATGACGCTATGGATTATGATTTTTCTGTAATCATTCTTGATTAATATATTTTCGCTATTGTATATATATATAGACTGGTATAAGGTGTGTTAATTGGTTCAAAATAATGAAGGTTAATTGTTGTAGATGCTCAGTGAAGTATTCAGTGTGTTTAGGGCTTATATTGTTAGTATTTTGTCATATTTAGAGTTTTTTATAATTGAACAATAATGTGTACTTGATTCCATATGTCGAGGTTATTTCAAATATTTCTGTACTTGGAACACTTTGAAATCGTAAATCTGATGTATGAGTGACTTCGTATCAGTTAATGTTTAGGCAAAATTCATTCTCAACCATGAAAAGCAACTTCACACCCCCTAGCCATCCATGATGTGCATACAATTTTTTTTCTTTTGAGAAAGTTAACTTATATTGATATTAAGAGAGTACAAAAAACACACCAAGAAGGGTGCACTGTACATTAATTCAGAGTAGCCCACTAAGCAAAAAATATGGCCTAGTGACAATGAAGGCCGAATGTATAGACAACAATTACAAGAAGATGTGGTGTGTCCTAGATACTACAGATATAGATGCATACAAATTTTAGGATCCAGGGTATATATCTCAGAATCTTATCTTAGGCAATGTTTTATTTCAAAAGTTTGACAACTGGTGGTCTTTTTAATTTGTAATTTACCACATGGCAATTTGGTTGTGTGATTGATTGATTCATTATGAACTGTGATTTGTTAGTGTTGTGTGATGTTGATGGTCGTAATAGTGTGACGGTGGTGGTAATGGTGATATTGGTGGTGATGGAACTGGTGGAAGTGGAAGTGGTGGTGGCATCTGAGTGGTGGAAAAGGTGTTGGCAGATTGAGGAAATGGGTGGCATCTAAGTGCTGATGGAGTGATGGTGGTGGTGGCAGCAGCTGCTAGGCCGTGACGGTGGTAGTGGTAGTGGAGGTGGTGTGGTAGTGGTGGCAATGGAGTGGGTGATCTCGTGGTGGCTAGGCAGTAGTGTCGGAGTGAGTGGTAGACGTGGTGGTCGTGGTGCGGTGGTGGTCATCGTTTAAAAAACAGGAACTGTTTTTCACTTGGTCGCCTGAAAATCTGAGTTGGATCATTTGATTTGGGGAGATCTCGGCTAAATTGAGCTTTAAAAGGTGAAGAGTTTGTTAAAATATATGTTTTTTGGTTTATAAAAAAATGCATCATATAGTATGTATTTGAGATACTTATGAATGTGTCCCGACTTGGGCTTCCATAGCACCTCAATGGAAGTTTTTCTGGCCTCTCATTCTTATTCGATCCAGTTTTGGGACCATAAACATATCCAGCACAATAGTATCCCATAAAATGCCAAACACTGAATGTTTTATTCTAAAACTCTAATTAAGAAACGACAATGCCAAGTTTCAAGATCAAATCCTAACCTGAAGTTGCAGAGTATGGCAAAATGTTCACTGAAAATCAAAACCTACAAGGCCAAAATTTAAATTAACAAGCATTCTTGAAAGTCAAAACCCATAAAGCCCGGGCTTTTTTGTTTTCCTGATACTCTGACCAAGTATACATCATTCTCAAATCCTAGGTCTCAAAGTCAGACCCCATATCAAAGCAAAACAAGATAAGGGCAAAGCAAATGTATTGATCCTGCACATCTATGAAAAATGGTTGGAATCAGGTTTGCTCGAAAGAAAAAATGGGTTAAAATTAGAGAGAAACCAATCAAATGGCAGAAATAGGGCAATATGTCCTTTATTCAGGAGTCAATTGGGTGATTTTTGAAAATTGTGCAATTCCTGAATTTTTACCTGGTTCACTACAATGAACTGGGGGCAATTTTTGTTAAGATAGTAAAAGAAAAAATGAACAGGCGGCAATTTTTGTATAGTAGGGTGACTAATGGGTTTGGGGGCATCCGAAACTGGTGACTGCCTGATTCTGAGTCGGATCGGACAATCTCCGATCCTAATTGGTGATTTCTCAGTGCTTATGGTGGTTGTGATGGGAAGGAGGGAGGTATTGGGAGGCTACTGGGGATCAATTCAAATTTGAAAATTGAACATCCCTTAGTTACTTTAAAATATAAAAGATACAAGCCAAATAGTGGAAAAAAGGAGACATATAAGTGTTATATAAGGAGTCTTTCCTCTTCTCAACCGAAGCCTAATTTAACACGTCTCAACTCACTCAAATCTCACCATTTTATAAGCATTCAACTGTCCAGTGCTCTTGGATGTACCTCTCTTTCTGTCTCTAATTGTCCTTGCTAAATTACTATCTGTGTGTGTCTATGCCATCCACTCTTCAAGAATGCTGGCTGGCAGATTGGTTTTCCATGTGTCTCAGTTTCCTCTTGTTTGGGACTTCCCATTTACATTTGTAAGCCCAAGAAAGGCCTATATGATTCCCAGAAAGATCAACAGCTGCCATGCTTCTTGGAAGACTGATGGCAAAATGACCTTCATTAAGGCAATTGTTAACTAATGTCCATATTTGCTTTGTCGCTTTTGATATGCCTGCTAGTGTTGCGGAGCAGTTTCCTTTGGAATGTTGTAATGAGGTAAGGTGACGTTTGTTTTGAAAATATTTGAGTGATCATTTAGGCGTTGCTGGTAAGTGGTCGTTGAGGATTGTAGAGACTTGTGGATGGCGTTGATTTATTTGAAGTATGAGACATGTCTTGGGATGGGGTACTTTAGACTACTAGCATGTTAGGATTAAGTTTATATCTTGGGTCCACTGGGGTTGGCACCTGCACCTGATTTTGGTCCCTTGTTTGGCGTGGCAATAGGTTGTTGAATGTCACATACCCTACACTTTTCAGGCTTCTTGTTGATCCTCAGGCTAGGGTGTTTAGATTGGTTTGAGAGAATACATGCTGGAGTGTCCAGTTTTCCAGGAGATCTCAAGGATGCGGAGTTGATGGTATTTATGGCCCTTATGTGTACCCTTGATGATATTTATATCCCAGTAAGAGGCATGGACAAGAGGGGATCCTTGAGTCATGAGGGATCTTTTCATCAAGATCCTTCTATAGGGCTCTTAGGGATGACCTAGTGAGTTGGTCCCTTTTGTGGAGCTTCCCCACCAATGGTCGGTTGTTTTGGATGGCTATCATATACAGGTAGTATTAGGGCATTGGATCACCTTGACAGGAGAGGTCCTATATTAACAACATGTGCATTGACAATTCTAAGTCGAAACGGTTGTTGATTCACTGTTGTTTCGGTTTCAATATTTAGGCTATTATCATGGATTCTTCTTAGTTTATGTGGGCCATATTAACTTTTACTTTCAAGTTCTGAGGGCCATTAAGATGGCTTTATTGGAGAGGTTCTGTCATCTGGCAAATATTATCTGATTGCTTTGATTTGGCTGAAATATTGGGCTTGTGCCTCTAACAAATCCAATCTCATGAATATCCGTCGAATTCTTGGCCCGTAGCGGTTCTTGCTTTTAAGAAAGCGGGGCAAATTTCTCGTACTTGCTTGCTCTGTGTGCCCCCCTTTCGTCGAGTGGCCCGCCCGGTTCACTACGCTGTTGGCCTACTAAGCACTTGCCTGCAGCTCCTGCCGGCCGCTTTGCGGGTGGAGTGCTCGTTATCCCGACTGTTCTCGTTGCTGTGGTGGGGCCCCTCCCATTGCTCTACCCATAACCTATGGCAGCTCCAGCTCTCACCCGTTGGGGCCCCCCATCCGACTCCGACTACTTGGAGGCACCTCCCCACTCTTCGTCTACCTAATCTAGCTTTGAGGTTCATCTGTAAGACAAGAACAGGTCGCTAGGTCAGAGCAGAGCCTGTAGGATTGTTCGATTCCACGAGAGAGATTCAATCTCAACGAGTAATTAAACGAGTACACCAAAATCTTCTCCAAGCTTTGAGGCTTTAGGGTTGAGCTTTGTTGAACATGTCCTGTAATGTATCCCTTCTATAACTCCCAAATCATCGACTAGCACTGAACCATGTTAGTGGACTCAGCTTAGTGAATAGCGAACAATCCCTCATTTGCTCCCACCCTATTTCTTCTGATTTCTCCTTATTCGAACTCAACCTTGAGCCCAAAATGATATTTTCAACATATCACTCGTTATTCAAAGCAGAAGAAAAGTGCCCAATATGTTTAAATTTTTGAAAAATATACCCGATAGATAGGCAGGCAGCATAAAACTTTGCCACATCTTATCATGAATTATCCAGCCCCAAATAATTGGGATAAGGCTTGGATGATGATGATGATACCCGATCTATTGAAAAATGCTTACTTTTGAGGTTTTTATTTAATATTAAAAAAGATCCTAAGTCTTCGCCTGAATTGCCCAAGGAGCGATGGCGGTGCTTATTTTTACCAGCCATTATTTTGAAACTTGACTCGGCCAAGGCACTTGGCCCTTGACCGTCCCAAGTAACTCGGGTGAGCCTGAGTGGACTACCTGAGTCCTATAAATGGCCAAAAATGCCCTAGAAAAATTTAAAAAAATAATAAAAATATGAAAAATAAAAATGAAGGCGGTAAATGTAAAGTAAAAATAAAAGCAACCTTAAAAGGTCCAAATAGGGTTAAAAAAATACAAAAAAAATGGATCTAAATAAAACTGATTTATAGATGGGCTGGGAGGCATTTGAGGGACTACTTATAGATGCAAAGGTTTTATTTTTTCTTTATTAC